CCGGCGTTTCTATCCGACCACCCTGCGGTTTCAATACCCGCCCTCGACGCCTTTCAACTCCGCTTCTGACGCCTTTGAACTCCACCCCGAACGACCCTCAGGACGCGAGCGGAGGAGGACGCGCGGAAGCAGGGCGCCGCGGACGCCGTCGTCGCTCTGGAGGCGCAAAACGCGGCGCTGCTCGAGGGCGAGGAGCGGCGGCGGCGCGAGTTCGCCGCGGAGACGATCGAGATTCTGAAGCGAGACGAGGCGCTCGTCGCGGAGGAGGAGCGTCGCCGCGAGATGGCGCTCGCGGCGTTGTCGCGCGCGGTGACGGAGGAGCAACGGCGCCGCCGCGCGGAGGATGAACGACGCGCGAAAGCCGCCGCGGAGCTTCAGCGGTTCCAGGAGCTCGAGAAGAAGCGCGCGGCGGACGAGGAAATTCGCAGGCAAAACGCGGACGCCGCGGCGGAGAAGGCGGCGGAGGACGAGAAGCTGCGCAGAGAGAAGGAGGACGAGCGAAGAGCCGAGGCGGACGCGGCGGAGAAAGCCGCGCAAGAACGCGAGCTCGCGAAGAGAGAAGAAGAGGACAAACGCAGAGCCGCCGCCGCGGCAGCCGCCGCCGCGCTCAAAAAGGCTGCGGTGCAGCAGCTCGAGGAAGAGGAAGCGCGCCGCGGCGCCGCGGAAGCCGCCGCGGACGCGCGCGTCGCCGTCGAGAAGAAGCAACGCGTCGAGGAGGAGGAACGCCGAGCGAAAGCGCTCGCCGCGGCGAAAAAAGCCGTCAACGACGAAGCGAAACGCCGCCAAGAAGAAGACCGCCGACGCGCCAAGGCGGACATCGAGATGAAACGCATGGCGGACAAGGAGATGAACCGCCGACGCGATGAGGACGCGCGCCGACGCGCCGCGGAGGCGGAGGAGCAGAGGCTCGCGATGGAGGAGGCGAGGATGCGTTCCGAGGCGGACGCGAAGGCGCGCGCGGCGGCGACGGATATGGAACGGAAAGCGACCGAGGCTGCGAGGATCACGGCCAACGAGGAGCAACGCCGCGCTACCGCGGACGCGGACGCGGACCGTCGCGCGGCGTCCGAGCGCGCGCGACGCGAGTCCGAAGACGCGCGCAGGGCGGCGGCGGACCAGGCGATGGAGGACGCGCGCGCGGCGGAGACCAAACGCCGCGAAGAAGAAGACGCGCGAAGAGCCATGGCCATGGACGCGTTGTCACGAGCCGTGGACGAAGAACGCGAACGCGTCGCCGCGGAGGACCGCAGGCGCGAGGACGCCGTCTTCGCCGCGAGGACCGCCGCGAACGAGGAGCAGTCCATCATCCAGGCGGAGAACGACCGACGCGAACGCGCCAAGGAAGTCGCCATCGCCGCCGCGAAAGAGGAAGCGATTCGCAGAGAGGACGAGGCGACCAGAAGAGGCGCGGCGTCGGAGGAATACGCCGTCCTGCTCGCCACCCTGCGCGCGATGGACGGCGAGTTCGCGCCGCGACGAGCGGCCGCCGCGGACGCGGCGCAGGCGGCGTTGGACGCGGAACGAGTCGCCGTCGTCGCCGCCGCCAAGGCGAGAGAGACGGCGATCCAAGAGGACAAGGACGCCGCGTCCGCGGAGGCCAAGACGCGCGCGGAGGAGGACGCGAAGATTGACGACAAAAAGGTGCGTTCTATACACTGGTCCCCATACGACCCCGTCGCCGTGGTGAACGCCGTTTCTTAAGGACTTTGCCCGGCGCATCTCTCCGCCTATCCCTCGCTTTCAATCCCCGCCCGCGTTGCCTTTCAACTTCAACTGACGCCTTTCAACTCCACCCCGACATCGCTTTGTATGGAACGACCCTAAGGCGGCGCTCGTCGCGATGCAACGCGCGGAGATGGCGAAGCGAAGAGAGGAGGACGATCGCCGCCGCGTCGCCGTCGCGGAGATTGAACGCGCGCTCGCCGCGGAGGCTGTCGTGTTGGAGTCCGAAGAACGCCGCCGCGCGGCGTTCGCGTCCGAGATCGAGCGGCTCAGCGCGCTCGCCGCCGACGCGGCGAAGCGCGACGAGGCGTCGATCCGAGCCAAGGAAGAGGCGCGCCGCCGACAGGCGGAGCTCGAGGTTCGAAGAGCCGAGGAGGAGGAGCGGAGAACCATCGCGGCGGAGGATCTCCGACGCGAAAAGGCGGACGACGCGATCGAGGACGCGGAGAAGGACCTCGCGAAGGACCGCGACGACGAATCCGCGCGCCGCGCCGCCTGGGAGGCGTCCATGGCGGACCGCGCGCGCGCGGAGGCGGATCGCCGCGCGAGAGAAGACCGCCGCGCCGCCGACGCCGAGGAGGCGCTTCGACGCAGCGCCAACGACGAGGACGCGCGACGCCGCGACGAAGAGTACCGCCGCGAAGAGCTCGAGACGCGCCTCCGCGAGATGCTCGAAGAGGACGAGCGCCTCACGAAGGCGGAGGAAGAGCGCCGCGCCAAGGCGGAGACGGAGCTGCGCGACCTCATCACGGAGGAACAGACGTTGACGCAGGCGGAGGAGGCGAGACGCGCGGCGCGCGCGGCGGACGTCGAGGCGACGGCGAGGCGCGAGCAACAGATCCAAGAGAGCGAGGACAAGCGCCGGGCGGACGCGGACGCGTTCCTTCGCCGCGCGCGGTCCGCGCTCGACGCGCTCGTCGCGGAGATCGAGGCGAGACGCGGGGCGTACGAGGACGCGCAGGCGGCGGCGGCGGCCGCGGAGAACGCCACGCGAGAGCAAGAAAACGCGCGGCGACGCGACGAGGAGACGACGCGTCGGAAGCAATCCGAGGAAGAGGCGGAGCTCCGCGTCACGGAGGAGTCCCGCCGCGTCGTCGAGGCGTCGCGTCGGAGCAAGGAGGAGGCTGCCGCGCGAAGAGCCGCTGAGCTCGAGGCGCGTCGCCGCGCCGCGGAGGACGCGCGCGCGAGCTCGGCGCGGCGAGATATGGACGCCGCGTCCGTCGCGCGTCGCAGAGCCGAGGAGGCTGTTCAAGCGACCGCCGCGGTCGCGGAGGCTGCGCTTCGCGAGCAGAAGCGACGCGAGGCTGACCTCGCGGCGAAGACTGGGCGCGCGACCGCGGCGGTGGGCGACGCGGTCGCGGAGAGCGGCGGCGGCTCGAAGGCGGCGGCGGCGGCGGCGGAGGAGGACCCGAGGGAGCGGCGCCGGCGCGAGCGCGAGGAACGCGAGGCGGCGAGAGCGGCGCGGCGCGAGGCGAGAGAAGCCGAGCGCGACGCCGCGGCCGCGGAGAAGGACGCCGCGCGCCGCGCGAAGGCTGCCGAGGCGGACGCGAAGGCTGCCGCGGACATCGCGAAGGCGGAGGCGGAGGCGGCGGAGGCGATGGAAAAGGCGGCGGCGGCGATGGACGACGAGGAGACTCCTCCTCCGCCGCCGCCGGCGCCGCCGGCGCCGCCGTCGCTCGCGGACGCGATGGACTCCTTCGGCGCGATCGACGCGCCGTCCACGTCCGAGAGCACCGCCGGGAAGTCCGAGCTCATGTCCTCGCTGGACCGCGGCGAAGCGCAGGAGATCGTCAAAGCGCTCGCGGCGGACAAGGACCCGCTCCGAGCCATCGCGGTTCTCGCGGAATCTCGAAACGACGCCGGCGCCGCGGAGGCCATCGGCGCGCTGTGGCGCGAGAACGCGTCGAGAGCCGCGGAGGTCCTCATGGGCCTCGAGACGGCGCGCGGCGCGGAGTTGCTTCGCATCTTGTGCGAGACCTTGGGCGAGGTGGACGCCGCGACCGCGCTCGTCGCGATGGAGGAGCCGGGCCGGGCCAACGGCGTCGCGCAGTTTATTCTTCCGTACGGCGCGCGATCCGTCGTGTACAAGGGGAAGGAGCTTCTCGCGGCGATCGCGTCGACGTCCCCGAGCGCCGCGAAGAAGATCTACGCGGGTTTGCTCCCCACGGAGCAGGTGTCCATCTTGAGGCGGGCGTGCCTCGGGATGGGGCAGCGGCCCGGGAGCGAGGACAAAGAGACGCGCACGGCGCTCGTGGCGAGAGACGACGGCGGCGCGCCGGATCCGTCGCTCGCCGCGCTCCTCCTCAGCGGCTTGACGGAACAAGCCGCGGTCGAGGTCGTGCACCGGTTCAAGACCAGAGGGGTGAAGAACGGGAGCGAGAAGTGGCAACGCAGGCAGACCGCGGCCGCGGAGGTGATGGACGCGCTGGGGGAGATTAACCCCGGGTTCGCCGCCGGGTGCAACGACGCGCTCGCGAAGAAGAGATGAGATGATTTATTTAACGCGGCGATCGACGAGAGGGGGATCTGGTGGTGGTTAAAAGGAAGAGTTTATGGTTTGGGTTTTATATCATGCTCGTGCTTGAGTGCACGCGACGCGACGCGACGCGACGCGTCCGCTCCCTCTCGCTCGCTCGCTCACACGTTGTACGCCCCCGGCCCCGGCCCCGTGGACCCGACCTCGAGCTTCGGTTCCCGCGTCGACGTCCCGAATTTCACCGTCGGCGACGTCGGCTCCCTGCTGCTGCTCTGCCGCCCGACGCAGCTCCTCGGCGTCGCGTGCGACCCGCACGGCCCCGGACTCAACATCCCCACGGTCCCGCCCATGACCTTATCCCTCTGGTCCCGCTTCAGCGTCCCGAAGATCGCCGTCGGCTCGGTGACCTTCTTCGTCGCGCCGTAGTCGGCGGTTTGTTTTCCGACGCCTCCCGACGGGAGCGTGTACCTGTCCGGGCCCGGGCGCTGCGCCGCGTTTTTGTCCGAGCTCCACCGCCCGCCCTTCGCGAACGCGGCCGCGGGCGCCGTCCGCTTGACGCTCTCAGGCTGCGGGCCGACGGAGGAGACGGTCGCGTACTTCGCCGCGGGCGACCACGCGTTCCCCGCCGAGTTATATTTCGACGTCGCCGCGTCGTAGAGCCCCTGCGCCTGCTCGCGCGTCGACCGCGGCAAGCTGTGGCGCGGGCGCGAGTGTTTCGTGGAGTCCACCTGCGCGCCGACCGCGGGAGCGAGCTCGTACTTCCCGGGTCCCGGCGGCGAGATGCCCTTCTTCGCGCACGGGTCGAGGACGTGCATCGAGTCGCGCGTCGTCCCGAGCTTGTTTCGGTCGCTCGACGGGAATTTCGGGCTCGGCATCGTCGGATACCTCGCGTCGATCACCTCGCCGATGCACCCGCTCAGGGTGTACGCCGGCCCCGGCGATAAGTTCGACGGCGTGCACTTCGCGTGCTCCGCGCTGAGGTACACCTTATCGAACGCGTCTCGCGTGCCCTTCCCGAACGGGACGCCGTCGCCGAACGACGTCTTTCGCGTCGACAGCGTTTGCTTCCCCATCGTCGTCGTGAGCCTGTAGACGGGCTTCCGCGCGTACGGGCTGACGCGCGCGGTGGTGCGCCCGTCGCCCATGGCGCGCGTTCGCGGTGGAGAGGACGCGTACGACGGGATGGCGCTTGCCGCGGGGGGGGGGTGGGGGGAGGCGCGCGATTGTGGTAATCCGATTGCATTCCGATTGCCGCTTTCGGAACGAAGTTGAAGCAGACTGCTGGCGCGAGACGCGGAGTTCGGTCAAACGCGTCGGTTGATCGGAAAAATTAAAAAGGAAAAAGTGCGACATTTCACCCAGGCGCGCGGTGAAATTGAACCCACGGCAGTTTTTTTCAAAACCGTTGGTTGAGCCCGAAGCGCGAAGTGCCGTCCGCGCGACCGCGCCGCGAGATCTCTGAGAACGCACGGCGCCAGGGCGGCCGCGCGCGTCGTCGTCGTCGCCGACGCTCGCGACGACGAAACGCGCATGACCTCGTTTCTCGACCGCCTGAAAGAGTTCGGAGGGCACGTCGCGCGCGAGCTCATCCTGAGCCCGACCCCGCCCGCGAACAGGCTCCGCATCGAGCGAAGCGCGGGCGCGCGCGAGGTCGACGCAGAGCCGCCGCGCGTCCCGTCGCGATCGAGCGCCGACCCCGCCGCGAACCCGTACGCGCGAGGAGGCCCCGGCGGCGCGGGCGGCGCCGCGAGGACGCGCGACTTTCTCGCGCGCGCGACGAGCGCGAGCGCGTCTCGGCCGAGGCATCACCCGTACGGATCGCCTCCGACGTCGTTCGGCGGGGCGACCGCGTCCAGATCGCGAGGCGGCGCCGCGAGCGCGTTCGGCGCGCGCTCGCCGCGCGCAGGAAGAAGATCCTCCCCGGCGCGCGACCCGCTCGTGACGTCCGTGTTCGGCGGCGGCGCGGCGAGGACGTACGGCGTCGACGCGTGGAGAGGAGGAGGGACGAGCGCGGCGGCGGCGGCGGTGGGCGCGTCGCATCGCTACCCGACGACGGCGTTGGACGCGTTCGCGTCCGCGGAAGCCGCGCAGAGAGACGCGGACCTCGCCGCCGCGGCGGTGGACACAGACGAGCCGTACGCCCCGCACACCATCTCCAAGCCGCTCCTGCCGCGCTACGTGCGAGACGCGGAAGCGTTGATCGACCTGACGTTTGAAGAGTCGGCGCGGAAAGCCGCGGCGTCTCGATCGCGGTCGCGGCTCGGCTTCCGCGGACGTGCGACCGGCGCGGACGCGTCGCCGGCGGCGCAGACGGCGTACTACGAGCAGCAGCGCTCGTATTCTTCGTACAGCGCCTCGCCCGCGCCGTTCTACGCGCACGGCCCGAGGCCCATCGGAGGCGGCGGCGGCGCGTTCGGCGCCGCCGAATACGACGCGGAGATGACGCGAGACATCGAGATCGCGGAGGAGGCGGCGAGGAAGGCGACCGCGAGGGAGCACGCGGCGATCGTCGCGCGCGCGGGCGCGTCCGCGCTTCGCGTCGACGCCGCGACGCCGTTCGCGGAGAAGCTCGCGAGGCGATCGAGGTTCGACGCGAGGTATCACGTCGCTTCCGCGGACGCAGGGAAGAATGATGATGATGATGTGCGATCGAGGACGCTCGGGCGAGGGTTCGGAGGCGCGCTCGCGACGAGTCAGCTCGACCGCGACTTTCGGGCGTTCGACGAGGCGTACGTGGATTTGCCGTCGCTGGAGGCGTACAAAGCGCGCGTCGCGGAGCTGCACGGGGAGAAGCCGGCGAAGAAGCCAGCCGCGGCGGCGGCGGGCGCGGCGAAGAAGAAGAAGGGGAGGGGACGACCGAAGAAGAAAACCCCGGACGACGACGACGACGACGACGTGGACGTCGACCCGATCACCGATCAGCTGTTCGACGACGTCGACGCGCAGCTCGCGGCGCTCAGGCGCGGCGAGGTGGCGGCGCTCGGCGCGAACCGCGGCGACGGCGCGAAGACGACGAAGACGAATAAGAAAAACGTCGCGACCGATCGCACCGCGCTGTCGCGCCTCAGAGCGGCGGAGCTCTCGCTGGAGGTGCGCGCGAAAAACGCGAGCCCGTCCGCGCCCGTGGACGCCGCGCGCGAGGCTGACCTCGAGCGTCAGATCCGATCGCTCCTTCTCGAGCAGAGCGACCTGGAGAAGACGCGAGAGGAGGTGCTCTCCGCGGCGAAGAAGGCGGCGGAGGAGGAGAAGGCTGGCCCCGACGCCGCGGCCGTCGCCGCGATGGAGAGAGAGCTCCTGCGGCCGCTCACGGACGAAGAGCTCGGCCTCGTCGAGGAAGCGACGGACGGCGGCGGCTTCGGCGGCGAGGTGCTCGCGTCCGGGACGTTCCCCGGACAGGGCGCGCTCGAGATGACGCGGAAAGACGTCGGCACGATGGCGAGCGGGCAGTGGCTGAATGACGAAATGTGCAACTTCACGGTCGGCACGATGGCGCGGCGGGACTTGGAGCGCAGCGGCGGGACGCAGCCGCGGACGCATTTCTTCAACACGTTCTTCATCAAGAAGCTGCGAGACGGCGGGAACGGGTACGATTACAACGCCGTGCGGAGATGGACGACGAAGAAGAAGCTCGGGTACGACGCGTTGGCGTGCGACAAGGTGATCGTTCCGGTGCACCAGGCGATTCACTGGGTCCTCGCCGTGATCGACTTGAAGGCGAAGCGCGTGACGTTTATGGATTCGCTTCACGGCGGCGACCACGGACTCGGGAAGGATCTGATTCGCTGGGTGAAGGACGAGACGAAGAACAAGCGAGAGATCGATCTGGACACGAGCGACTGGGTCGTGGAGTGCCCGAAGGACGTCCCGAGGCAGCTTAACGGCCACGACTGCGGCGTTTTCATGCTGAAATTTGCAGACTACATCGCGACCGGGTGTCCGTTGACGTTCGATCAGCGGAACATGGAGTACTTCCGGCGGCGAATCATCGCGGACGCGATGGCGTGCGGGAGAGAGTGATGCCGAACGAGAAAATATCCGTCGATTGAAACGAGAAAACGAACGACGCGGCGAGTAGCGCCGCGTCTTCTCTACGTCTCATCCATCTTCGCCGCGAGTTTCGCCATCGTCTCGTCCACCAACGCCGCCGTCTCCGGGTCTTTCATCGCGCTCTCGTATCGCGCTTTGAACGCCTCGAGCTTCTCCGGATCCCGCATCAGCGCGGCGAGATCCGCGGGGACCCCGTTCCCGTCGAATTCGAAATCCTTGAGCTTAACCCGCGCGTCGATCTCTCGCGACATCTGCCGCGACATCCGACACCCCTCCACGAGCTCGGGGTCGAGATCCATCTTCTCCGCGCCGTCCTCGTCCGGGAGCTCGAAGACCGCGGGCGCGACGCGCGGGTACTCGACGGGCGGCGGCTTGGCGACGACGGCGCGACGCGTCGTCGCGACCGCGACCGCGTCGTCGTCGTCGTCGTCGTCCGAGGAGGAGGACGCGTTCGCGATGACGTCCCAGCGCCCGTCGCTCCACTTCGGGTCCGACCTGCCGCCGCCGCTCGCGTCCGACGCGTGAACGAACGCCCCTTTCTTCAGCGTCCTCTCCTCCGAGGTCCTCAGCTCGTTCCCGTTCCCGCCGCGAGCGTTTCGATCCCGATCCCGATTCTGGCGCAGCTCCGCGAGGCTCTCGTTCAAGACGCGCTCCATCTCGCGCGCGACGCGCGACGTCGCCCCGTGCGACGCCGTCAGCGCCGTCAGCGCCTCGCGCGCCGTCATCGCCGCCGCCGCGAGCTCGCCGACGTGCGCCTCCGTCTTCGCCAACAGCGCCAGGTGCAACCCCCGCGGGGGATAATTCTCCGGGTAACACTGCTCGTGCGGCTTCACGAGCGAGCGCGCGAGCGTCAGCGCGCGCGGAAAGTCCCGCGCGTCGATCGCCGCGCGCAGCGCCGCGGCGCGCACGCGCACGCGAAGGACGTGGCAGTCGCCCACGGCGGCGGCGAATCCGACTCCAAAAGACGCGTCGTCGTCGCCGTTCAGGAGGTCTTCCGCTCGCGTCAGCATCTTCTCCGCGGTGTCGTGGTCGGACTCGTCTCGAAGGAACTTCGTCGCCGCGTCGAGGCACCGCGACGCTTCCGCGACGCGCGACGCGGTGCGCGCGCGGTCCGCGCCGCCCCAGGCGCCCCAGCCGTGCACCTCGACGCCGTTTCCTCTCGGTCGTCTCGGCGCGGCGTCGGCGTCGGCGTCGGCGTCGGTGTCGGCGCGAGCCGCGCGACCGGGACCCGCGGCGCCGCCGCCCAACCCGCCGGAGTAATCGATCGGCGGCTCGTCGTCCTCGTCCTCGGACGATTCGTCCTCGGTCTCGGATTCCGCCGCGGCGCCGTCGCCGTCGCGTCGCGACTGGTCGACGACGACGACGACGCCGCCACCGCCGCGCGCCGCGGTCAAATGTTCATCGTCCACCGCGTCCGTCCGCCACGGCGGATAACGCGCGTCCGCGCCGTGGTCTACGAACACCGCGCCGCACGGCAGCTTCGTCCGCGTCGCGCGTGAATGATCGTCGAGCGGCGAAGGCGCGCCGATGTCGCCGTCGATGTCGAACCGGTAGTGATTCAACAGCTCCGCGCGTCTCTCCGCGCGCGTCGCCAACAGCTCCACGTACGAGATCGCAATCTCCTCTCCTTTCCTCACGTCCCGCACGCACCGGAACGTCGCGGTCGTCCCCTCCCCGAACGTCTGCGCGACCGTCGGCGCGCACGCGTGGTTCATCATAGCCGCGGTGGGGTACACGCCCATGCCCACGGGGTTGAGTTCGTCGTCGTGGATCGTGTGGACGTTGCACGCGAACGCGGCGAGGAGTCGCGCGACGTCTCTCGGGTCCGGGCCCCCCGCGAGCGGGTCCACGAAGTTTGGCGACTTCGGGTCGTGCTTCGGGTTCGCCGCCGCGGAAGGGTCGAGGACGCGCGCGATGTACGCGCACGTGAGCATCGCCATCTGCGCGAACGTCGCCTTCCTCGCGGGCGGCAGCGCGTCGGTGTCGTCCCAATGATGCGTCAGCGATCGGAGCGCGTCGTAGCCCTCGCCGAGGCCCATCGCGGCGGCCGCGGCGACGTCCTCGGCGTCGTCGCGCGCGTCGGCGGCGTCGGAGTCGTCGGCGTCGTCGGCGTTCTTCTTCTCCCGGTCGCTCTTCTCCTTCTCCTCGCGCGCTTTGCGCCACAGCGCGCGCGCGGCCATGCGCGCGGTCGCGGGAGGGACGCGTCCGCCCTTGGCTGCCGATTCGATCGCAGCGCACTCCTCCCTGTGCCCGCGCTTCCACGCCGCCGCCTGCGCGTCTCGGCCGAGATACCGCGCGTGCTTGCATCGCGCGCAGCGGAGAAGCGCGCCGCCGTCGTCCGCGCGCTTGAACGTGTGGTCGCACCGCGCCGCGCGCTGCGAGTCGTGCAGCGCGCACGCGTACGGGCGCGCGACGAGCGCCTCGTCGCCCGCGCGCATGTCCACCGCGGCGACGAGGTGCCGGCCTCTCGCCGGGTCGACGCGCATCTCGACGCGCCCGCCGGGGAGGAGGACCGGCGGCGGCGCGACGACGTCCGCGTCGTCGTCCGGCGTCGTCATCGCGCGCGGCGCGCAGCGTCCTCTGCGAGATCGCGCGGCGTCGCGGACTGGAGGGAGAGCGAGAGGAGGAAAGTTGAAAGTTTATGGTCTCACGATCTCACTCAAAAGAAGGAAACACTGCTGCCTATAACACTACAACTGCACTGAAACGCGTCGCGTCGCGCCGCGCTTCAAGTACAAAAAATCCGGGCCGCGGTCCCTGCCGCGGCCGTCCGTCCCATCCGTGCGCGCCCCGCGCCGCGTTAATACACGCGCGCGAGAGCCGCCGCAAAAATATCTTTCGTCCGTTCGCTCATTCGCCCTCTGTCGTACGTTTGGTTTTGGTTGGATAAATACCGCCCGCCCCGCCTCGAGGTCATCAGCCTTATTCGTGTCCCACACCCACATCGATCCCCCCAAAAGAAACGCTCAACACGGAGACGTTTAATCCCCGCGCTCCCACACGAGCATGCTCCGCTTGCCGACCATGACGTCCGCGAGCTGCACGACGCGCTTCCAGACGGACTCCTGCACGTACGGGACGCCGTGCTTCTCGCAGATCGCCTTGATCTTCGGCTGCGCCTTCTGGTAAGACTTCATGGAGATGTCCGGGAACATGTGGTGCTCAATCTGGTAGTTCAACCACCCGTGGAAGAAGTCGTTCAGGTCGCCGCCGGTGCGGAAGTTGGCCGAGCCGATAACGGCGCGGAGGTAAAAGTCATCCGACCGCGGCTTCGTCTCCGTCTCGAACCGGTAGATGTCGTCCCCGACGTGGTTCGTCGCGATGATGATGAACGAGTGCACGTTGGTGATCACGTCCGCGAGGATGGACGTCAGGAGGACGCCGGTCGCGAGCTGCGCGCCGCCGACGGCGTAGCCCAACGCGGGCAACGCGGCGAACTGAAACAACGCGTACGGCGCGAAGCACTTCGCCGTCTCGACGAGCGCCGCCATGCCGCCGGGCTTGACGACGCCGCTGATGACCGTGGCGACCGTGCTCGGGAGCTCGCCCGTCTTGAACGGGTTCACGAAATCCTCGCCAGCCTTCTGCGCCTCGCGTTCCTTGCGTTGGTACATCTCTTTCATCGTGTTGGGGGCGTAGTAGAACCACTTCCAAATGAGCGCGAGGCCGACGACTTGGCCGTAGCGCGCGATCATCGGGAGGTTGCCCGAGCGCAGCGGTTTCATGTTGCGCTCGACGAGATCGGGGTCGGCTTTTTCGCCGAGCTGCGCGCGGAGTTGGGGAGGGAGGGAGGGAGGGGGTCGGCGTCCGCGTCGTCGGTTGAAAATCAAATCGTTCGGGGCGACCAATAAAAAAAAACAACTCAAGATGTGAAGGATAAGCCCGCCCGCGACGGACGCGCGACGGCCGTCGCGCGCCGCCGCGGGCCCCGCGCGAAGAGCGCGCGCGACGCACCTGGTAGTGGTGGAGGTGGTTGTGCTCCACGTCCCACGCCTCGGGCATCATCCAGTCCATCCAGTCCGAGATCCTGCGCGCGATCCCCTTCGCGAACGTGCGACGGTGGAAGCGGCCGGTCACGACCCCGCCCTCGCTCTGCGCGGTGTTGTACCCGCCGTGGCAGACGTGATGCCCTACCATCGTCCATCGCGCGCAGATCGCGGTAGACATCATGAACGCCGCGATCGGGTTCACGCCGCCGACCGCGGCGAAGACGTTGCCGAACAGCATCGGCGTCGCGAAGAGCACGGCGAGGCCGCCGTAGTAGAAGCAGTTGGCCCACGTCAAGATCTTGTTGAGGTGGTCGACGTCATCTTCCCCGATCTCCGCCTTGAGCTCCTTCTCAACCTCGCGCACCTCGGCGGCCCACGAGGAGAGATCGAAGTTCTCGCGCCACTTGCCGGTCTCGTTGTACGTCATTTCACCCGACCCCGCGGACGGCATGTCCATCGTGATCGCCGCGCGCGTCTGAAGGACGCCGCGCGCCGCGCGGCGCGGGGCCGCAGCCTTGGCGGTGGCCGCACCCCGGACCGCGCGAGCGGAGCCGGCGCGGCGGGAGGTCGCCTTGAGAGACTTGGCGCCCGCGAGGGCGACGGGAGCGGCGATGGTCATGGACGCCATTGTGTGTCGCGTGCACGTCTGTGCGCGAGAAGTGACGCGCGCGGCGCGAGCACGTCGAACGCGAGCCGATGCGGAGGCCGGCGGCACGTGACTTGAACGGCTGAGTTTACGTGGCGGTCGTGTGTGGCAGCGCGTGCGTCTCGGCGCGATTTATACGGGCCGCGGTTAGACCGTCGTTCGCGAGTCAGATGCCGAGGCGGGCAGATCTTTTGTGCGGGATTGATTTTTTGGTTCCGCGCGTCGTTCGCGTCGAGTCGATGAGATGACCGGTTGAAACGACGTTCTTTCCATCGTTTCATCGGGGAAGGCGATTCGCTCGGGTTCAACGCCGCGTTCAAAGAACCCCGAAACCACCGAAACCGTTCGAGACCGAATTAATCCCTCCCTCCCTCCGTCCGTCCCTCCCTCCCTTCCTCCTCTCCCATCGCGTCGCGTCGCGAATCACATCCCCGCGTTGATCTCCCGGAAGAACGCGATCGTCTCCTCCAACGTCCGCGCGAACGCGTCCACCTCCTCCCTCGTGTTGTACAGATACAGCGACGCGCGCGCCGACGCGGGGACGTTCAACGCCGCGTGCAGCGGCTGCGCGCAGTGATGCCCGCTCCTCGTCGCCACCCCGGACGCGTCCAACAGCGTGCACACGTCGTTCGCGTGCAGCCCCTCGACGTTGAACGCCGCGAGCGACGCGCGGCCCTTCGCGGGCGTCGGCCCGTACACGGTCACGCCGTCGATCGCGGCGAGTCGCTCGTACAGACGCGTCCCCACGTCCACCTCGTGCTCGTGAACTCTGTCCATGCCGATCGCGGAGAGGTAGTCGCACGCCGCGCCGAGCGCGATCGCCTCGCCGATCGCGGGCGTCCCCGCCTCGAACCTCGCGGGCGGGGGCGCGTACGTGCTCCTGTCCATGAAGACGTCCTGGATCATCTCGCCGCCTCCCATCCACGGCGGCATCGTCTCTAGGACATCCGCGCGGCCCCACAGGAACCCGATCCCGGTCGGCGCGCACATCTTGTGCCCGGACGCGACGATCCAGTCCACGCCCAACGTCTTCACGTCGATCGGCATGTGCGGCACGGACTGGCACGCGTCGAGGAGCACCTTCGCGCCGACGCTCTTCGCGAGCTTCACCAGTCGCGGGACGTCCACCTCGCTCCCGAGGACGTTGGACACGTGCGCCGTCGCGATCAATTTCGTTTTTCCCTCGCGCGCCGACGCTTCCAACGCGTCCATGTCGATCCCGTTCCCGTCCGGCGCGAGCCCGACGTGCCGCAGCGTCGCGCCCGTCTGCGCGCACACGAGCTGCCACGGCACGATGTTGCTGTGGTGCTCGAGCTCGGAGATGATCACCTCGTCCCCCGGTTTCAAGTTGGCGACGCCCCACGTGTACGCGACCAAATTAATCGCCTCCGACGCGTTGCGCGTGAAGACGATCTCGCGGTCTGTCTCCGCGCCGATGAAGTCCGCCACCTTGACGCGCGCGAGCTCGTACGCGTCCGTGGCTTTGCCGCTGAGGTAGTGCACGCCGCGGTGGACGTTCGCGTTGATCTCGCGGTAGTAGGCGGCGTGCGCGTCGATGACGACGTTCGGCTTTTGCGACGACGCCGCGGAGTCGAGGTAGACGAGCGGCTTGCCGCTGTCCGGGAGCGTCTGATGCAGGATGGGGAAGTCGCCGCGGAGCTCGTCCGCGAGCGTGGAGCGCACGGACGTGCTCGCGGCGGCCGTGGAGACGGACGCGCGGGTTCGCGCGGTCCCCGGGAGCCGCGGCGGATTCGGCGGCGACGCGGCGGCGACGCGCGCGCGAGATCCGTGCGACGCGGGGGACGCGCCGCGCGGGGGCGGGGCGCCGTCGCGCGACGCCGCGGACGCGGACGCGCGAGGCGCGGACGCGGACGCCGCGAGCGTTAACGTAGCCATCGTCGCCATCGTCGAGAACGACGCGGACGCAGCGGCGGTGTCGGGCGTGCCGTGCGCGACGTCGAGCGCGCGGGGATTCTGTCGTCGTCGACGTGTCGAAAGCAAGCCAGAACCCTACGTCCCGAAACCTCAACACAGTCTGAGAGCCACCTGAGTCGACGAGACGCCTCCCGCGCCGTCGTTTGATATCGCGTCGATAACATTATTACGTACTACCCGCGCGACCGGCTAGAGGTCACGTCCTACTACTCCGCGAGTCGACGCGCGCGCGTCGACCCGCGAGCTACGCGCCTCGTGTCCGACACGAGGCGCTCGCTATCCTCCCCTTCCCTCTCACGGCGTCCGCCGCCCGCGAGCGGAAAAAAAAAACACGAGGTTCCCGACGCGCCCGCCTCTCGTCACGCGTCCTTCCTCGGCACGTACGCGAAGCCGCTCGGGAGTTTCGCGTTCGTCTGCTGCAACTCGCCCGCGCACATCATCCGCTCGCGGCTCACCGGCGTCGCGGTCCCGTCGTCGTCCGCGGCGGGCGCCGCCGCCGTCGTCGCGCCCGCGCCGCCCGACCGACGCGCGCGCTTCGGCCATCGCCCCTCGCCGCCGCCGCCGTCGCCCGCGCTCGGCCCGGACGACTTGGAAGTCCCCTTCACGCTGCCGCTCCTCGCGCGCTTCGGGACCGACGGACTCGTCTCCCCGCCCCCGGGGGGGTTTCCGCCGCCGCTATTCGAAGACGCAGCAGACGCGCCGCGCTTCGCCGTCTCGCTCTTGAGCACCGCCTTCCGCATCCCCCCGCGCACGCGTTGGAGATTCGAACGCAGCCGCCGGATGCCGCTCGACTCCTCGCCGCCGCCGCCGTTTAGGGTGTTACTTTTACCACCAGCATCGCCCGGGGTGTTACCTCCGCCGCCGCCGCCCGCCGCCGCCGCCTTCGCGACGACGTGCGCGACGCCGCCCCACGACCCGGGGGTCATCGTCACCGGCGCGAGCTCCGGCGGCGGCGGCACCGAAGCCCTCGGGACGCCTTTGCTCTCGTCTCTCTCGCGTCGCGCCGCGCTGTGCTTGTCGCAGTACGCTCTGTAGTGCGGCCGCGTGCCGTCGCTCGCGCGGACGTGCATCCCCGCCTGCCGCGCGCACAACGGATGGAACGTCGTCTGGCAGTGCCCGTACGAGCACCGCATGGGAACGCCGGCGGCTTTCCCGCACGCGAGGCACCGCTGGTTCGCGCGTTCCTTCGGGATGCTCTGCACGCCCTCGACGCACTGCAAATCGTTCGCGTCCTTGATGACGATCTCCGGCGTCCACTGCGCGCAGACGACGTGGCACCACCGCCCGTCGACGCACTGTTTAAACGCGCCGAGCTGCACCGGGCACAGGAGGCACGACACGCCGCGGTACATCGCCATCTTCTCCTGCATGGACGGGCGAGCGCCGCGCGCGAGCGCCGTCGCCGCCGCCGCCGCCACCGCGGGGGTGTTCGCCTTTCCCTTATCCGTCGCGTCCTTGCACACCCAGCACATCCACGCGCCTCCGGCGCCGGCGGCATTCTTCGCCTCCGCGGCGCTGGACAGGCCGTAGCACCGCGGATGCACGGGGAGCGCGCAGCGCGCGCAAGTCAGCGTCTCCCGCGTGAACGCGACGTCCGCGGTGCCCGCGCACACGGCGCAGTCGCGCGGCCCGCGAGCGCCGCCGAACGCCGCCGCGGCGTGGACGGTGTCCACCGACACGTCCGGCGCGCTTCCCCCGGGGGAGGCGTAACATCCCCCGGCGCCGGGCGTTGGGGCGCCCGCGCCGGTCGGGGTCGTGGGATACGAAACGCCGCCGCGGCTGTTGTTTTGGTCCTTCGCCGCCGGGCTCGCGTCCCTCGCGCCGACGCCGCGCCTGGCCGCCGCCGCCGCCGCGGCGTCGTACCCGCGCTGCGGCTTCGGCATCGCCGCGAGCGCCTTCCTCTCGCGCTCTTTCAACTCCGCAGCCTTCGCGTCCGCGGCGGCGATCTCCAACGCCGCGGCCGCGACGTCGGGCGGGAGGCCGTCGAGCGCGCCCATCGCGGGCGCGATGACGTTGCCAGCCGCGTCTCTCCGCTGCGCGCCGACGCGGCTCGACGCCGCCGCCGCCGCCGCCGCTCTCTCGAGCGCCAAGCGCTGATCCGCCTCGCGCTTCTCGCGCTTCTGCACGCGCCGGACCTCGCGCGTCTTTGCGACGTACCCACCCGCCTCCGCGTGCTCGCCCTCGACGCGCGCGAAGTGCGCACCCTCCTCGTCCACCTTGTCGCGAACCCGCCCCAACGCGTCGAGCAGCGCCGACCGGTTCGCCTGTGAGGGTCGTTCCATACAAAGCGATGGCGGGGTGGAGTTCATAGGCGTCAGGTGGAGTTCAAAGGCATCGCGCGCGGGGATTGAAAGCGAGGCGTGAGCGGAGAGAGACGACGGCAAACGTCATTAAGGATCGGCGTTCACCACGCCGACGCGGTCGTATGGGGACCAGCGTACAGAACGCGCCTGCGTCTGCCACAGGAGCTCGTACTGCAACGCGAGGATCTCGCCGTCCACCTCGCACGTCGGCGCCGCCGCGCGCAGCTCCGGCGCCGCGTTCAGCGCCTCGGTCAGCGCCTCGAGCTCGTCCTCCGCATCCGCGGGGTCGGACTCGGAGTCGGACGCGTCGGACGCGGCGTCGGCGTCGTCCGACGCCGAGCCTTTTTTCCCCCCGCCCGCCGAATAGCGTCTCTCCTCGCGCTCGCGCTCTCGGCGCATCTCCGCCTTCATCGCGGCGAGCGACGCCGTGGACGCCGCGAGCGGCGTCGTCGGCGCGCGGCGCGTCGGCACCGCGGCCGCCGACGCCGCGGCGGCGACCGCGGCGTACGCGACCGAGGGCTCGGGCGACGCGCCTCGCGACGGCGCGTCGAACGGATCGTCCAGAGACCCGGCTCTGGACCCGCCGCGACGCTGGCACTTCAACGGCGCCGTGTCCGTGCCGCATCGCCCTTTCTTCTGGACGACGCACACCGCGCATCGGCCGCTATTCGGGTCGACGGCGCTGGCGCGCGAGGAGGAGTTCCTCCCCTTCTTCCCCCCCTTACAGGCGCCCGCGTCGGACGCGAGCCCGATCGGCGACGGCTCCGGCTCGGGCGGCGACGCCAGCCACGGCGTCGCCGGCGGCGGCGCCGGGAGCTGCGACACCGAGCTCGCGAGCCAGAACGACCTGTCCAGAAGCATCTCCGTGTGCAGCGGCATCGTCTCGTCGATCGCGGTCGGGCCGTGCGCGTGCGGGAGGTTGCCCTTGTCCCCGAACGCGCGAGTTATCGTCTCCTCCCGCGCCTTGTCCGCTTTTTCCTCAGCCGTGGGCTCCCGCGCGGGCTCGACGCCGCCGCGCGCGCCTTGGTTCCCCGGGGGGGCACCCGTCGCGATCCCGCCGAAGATCGGCTCCTGCTTGACGTGGGGATAGGGCGCGGCGGCCGCGGCGATCGCGGTGAGCGACGCGTGCGAGGACGACGGCGTGACGCCGCCGCTGATCGTCGTCGCGACGGACGCGTCGGAGGACACTTTGCCAACCTTGCCCAGCGCGCGTTGCGTCAGAATCCCCGCGGCCGCGGTCGCGGGCGCCGCCGCGAGCGGCATCACCGCGACCGGCGCGGGAATGGCGTTCGGGATCTCGCCGCCGACGTACACGCCGCCGTTTTCGTCCGTCTTCATCACGGCGACGACCTCGGGGGGAGGTATCGGGAATGCCGGGGGCTGGTCGGAAGCCGCCGCCGCGCCCGCGGCGGCGGCGGCGGCTGCGGCGGCTGCGGCTGCGGCGGCGGCGGCGGCAACCCCTCCCACGGCGGCGATCCCGGCGACCCCGCCGCCTGGGATCTGATGAAGACCCCCGCCCATCGCGGCGTCCGCGGGGACGACCGTCCCCGGGAGCGGCATCCCCGCCTCCGCGAGGCCGACGAGACCGCCCGGGTCGACGGAGACGCTCTCTTCTTTTCGCTTCTCTCTCGCGTCCAACGTCGCGGCGGCGGCGTCGAGCCGCAACCACCGCCTCGCGCCCGCGACCGTCGCGCTCTCCTCTCGTCCTTTACCCCCGCGCCCGAGCCCTTTCCCGGAGAGGAAGTCCTCGAACGATTTCTTATCGCACCCCGCGGTCTTCGCGGCTTTCGCGACCGCCGCGGACCGATCGTCGACGAGGAGTAACAGGTTGCGGCACAACGACGCCACCTCGTCCGGGGTCGTCGCGTCGAGGAGGTCGCCGCCGATGGACACCCCGCTCGGCGGCGGCGGCGGCGTGTACACCGCGTAGGTTGGCAGCGGTGGCGGCTGCGCCATGGCGCCCGACGCCGCGGGCGCGGCGCCGGCCGGCGCTCCCGCCGCTGTCGCGCCCGCCGCCGGCGCGCCCGCCGCCGGCGCCGCGACCGCCGCGCCCGCCGCGCCCGAGATCGCCGCCGCGACGGGCGCGACCGGCGCCGGCTCCGCCTTCGGGAGCCCGTCCTCGAACGGCTCCGAGTGTGGGCGTCCCGCGGGCGGCATCAGCAGATCCCGGTCGCTCTCCCACGGGTGCGACGGCAGCGCGTGCACGAGGTCGCTGAGGTGCAGCTTCCGGAAGTAGTCCTCGGTGTACTTCCACCACGGCGGCATCTCCTTCTCTTTCGTCTTGTCCTCCACGTGCGAGCCTTTCGCTTTTTTCTGTGGTGGATGGGCGTCGATCGATGAGGCGGAAGACGTGAGCGAGACGCGATGGAGGAGGGAGGGAGGGAGGGCGGCGGCGGCGGCGAATGAGTTTTTTCGATCGATCGATCGATCGATCGACCGATGGCGTCGCGAACGGAAGCGCGATTCTCGTCGCGGGCGACGCCGACGCGTCACCTTCCGGCGCGTCGAGCGCGCGCGCGAACGACTCGTCGCGCCCGTCCTCGACGTGGATTTTTTGCAAAACATCGACAAAATTCGCGCGCGGAGCGTCGAGAAAAACCCCCGCGCGCGCGCGGCGCGCGACGCACCTCTTTCACGCGCGCGGCGTCGATGAGGTCGTACGCCTCGGCCACGGTTTTCGGGGCGGAGACGCGCGGCCTTCCCGGCGCGATCTTCTCCGCGAGCGACCGCGCCTCGAGAAGTTGATCGTGATACAACGCCATGCGCTCGCGCAGAGGCATCTCCTCCTCCATGTCGTCGCTCTCCGACCCGGGCGACGGCGACTTCCGCGCGCGACGCGGCATCGGATCCGTTCGCGAGACGCGATCGTTCCACGGTTGGAAGTCCGCTCGATCTCGCCGCCGCCGAGGAGGTTTCGCGCGGTCGCGACGACGCGCGCGCGACGGAAACGCCGCGGAAAAAAAACGCAAGCTTCCCACGCGCGCGATCGACGAAAAGCGAGCGGCGCGGGCGCTTTCGAGCGCGCGGAAGTCCTCGAGCGCGCGGCGCGAGATGGCGAGCGCGACGCGGAAAGATCCCGGCGAAGTCGGGGTTCATCGCGTCGACGCGCGGGCGCTTCGGGCGCGTTTTCGTCGGCGGTTTCTATATTATAATAACCGTCGCCGGTTAACACACGCCGTCTCTCCCGCGACGCTCCCGCGCCCGCGTCCCTCTCCCGTCCCCTCGCGCTCACAGCTTGCTCATGATGTGCACGCCTCGCCTCGGATCCGCGTGCGAGCGCGGCCCGTCCGTCGCGGCAGCGTCGACGCCCCCCTCGCCGCCCCCCGCCGCTTTCAACGCCGCCGCGGGCGGCTGACGCGCCACCGCCGCCGGCGTCCCCGCGCCCTCGTGCGCCGCCCTCGCGTCCTCGCTCCTCTCCTCCAGCGCCGCGGCCAAGAACTCCCCCAAGACGCGGTCCGTCCAGCACGGCCCGAAGAGACCGACGCCGCGCTCTAAGAACGCCACGTGTCCCCCCTTCGCGACGTGCGCCAACGCGACGTGCGCGGTGCCTCGAATAACGCGTTCCACCTCGACGCTGTCCGACGCCGTGAACGGATCATCGCGCGCGGAGAGATACAACGTCGGCGTCCGGATGCTAGGTATGATCCTCGCGGGGGAGAAGTACGCGTAGTACTCCTCGACGTCTTTGAACCCGTGCGTTTTCACGATGAGCGATTCCTCGAACGCGCGGATGGTCCGCATGGAGGAGAGCTCGAACGCGTCGTCTTCGACGTCGGGATGCTCGGCGACGTTCTTCCGATGCCGCGCGAAATACCGACGCAGCTCGGACGCGATCGCGCCGTTGTACATCATCCCCGCGGGGCGCTCCGGGTCGGACAGGCTGCGGTGCGAGCTGTGCGGGTCCATGGGGCAGCTCACGAGCACGGCGGCGGCGACGCCCGGCCAGCCGTCGTCGCCGTCGGGACCGGGCGGCTTCGGCTTACTGTCCTCCTCCGCTAAGTACGTCCCGATGACGTACGTCCCCAGCGAGTACCCCGCGAGCAACACCGGCGCGCGCGGGAACCGAGCCCGCGACGCGTCCACCGCGGCTCGGACGTCCTCCGACGACGCGGCGCAGTACACCTTGGGCGACGCGAGCTTCACGCCGTTGCACCCGCGCAAGTTCAACGCGACGCATCTCCACCCGCGCGACGCGGCGACCGCGATCGCCCACTTCGTCGGGCCCTCGTGCGACCCGCCGTTGATGCCGTGGAGCATGATGAACACGGGCGCGGTGGGCGGGAGGTCGCGCGCGGGCGGGATGTCGTCCGCGGTCACCGTCCGTCGTCGCGTCTTCGACGACGGCGGCGGCGGCGGCGGCGGCGGCGGCGGTCCGCCGCCTCGGCCGAACCTCGCGCGGACGAGCCAGTCCAGCCCGACCTGCCCGCCGTCCGCGCATCGAACGATCTGCCGGTCGTACTTTAAGAAGATCGTGAGCGTTCGCGCGTACCCCGCGAGCGTCTGCGCGTGCGCGTTCCTCAGCCATCGCGGCGGGTGATACTTCGCGTCGCGCCGCAGCGATGGGCACCGCGCCACGAGCTCTCTCGTCAGCGCGCCGCCGCCGTGGACGACGAACGGCTCGCACTCGCCCGATTCGTCGGGGCCGGAACGCGGTCCGCGACGCGCGGAGGAGGATGAGGAGGAGGAGGGGGACGCGGCGCAGAGGAGCCCCGCGGCGGCGGCGACGGCGGCCGCCGTCGCGAAGGCTGATCCTCCGACTCGACCCGAGCTCGACGCGGCGTCCTCCGCCGCGGTCGACGGTTCCCTTCCGCGCGCGTCGTCCGGACGCGCCTTCGCGCGATCTGGCATCGCGCGTTCGGCGTTCGCGACGCCGACGCGCGCCTCGAAGCTACGGCGGCGCGGTCGGCTCGGCGCGCGTCGACGACTGATCTGTTGGTTGCACTTTTTCGGCCGCTTGCGCTTTTTCAGATGCGCCCGCGACACTTTCCTCGGCGCGCGCGGCGCGGGCGGGGCGCGGGGATGCCGTCCCCGACGCCGCGCCCCGCGGCGTCGCCGCTTCCCGGCGTCGTGTGCGTCCTCGGGCAGACCGGCGCGGGGAAGTCGCGCCTCGGCGCGGAGCTCGCGCGCGCCATCGACGGCGAGGTCGTCAACGCGGACGCGATGCAACTCCACGACGCGCTCCCGATCGCGACCGCGCGGACGACGAGCGAGCAGACGCTCGGGGTGCCGCATCACCTGTTCGGCGTCGTGCCCGTGCCCGTGCCGACGAGAGGAGGAGAGTCTTCTGCGAGCGCGCGCGACGAGCGCGGCGGCGGCGGATACGGCGTCACCGTGCGAGACTACAGAGCGATGGCGTTGCCGGTGGTGGAGGGCATCATCGCGCGAGGGAAAGTCCCCGTGCTCGTCGGCGGGAGCGACTACTACGCGCGGGCGATCGTGTCGCGCTCGCTGCTGGACGACCAGCTCGGCGCGGGACGAGAGGGCCCCGGGGCGGAGGCGAGAGGCGAGGACGACGGCGACGCGCGCGACGACGGCGCGTCGGCGTCGGAAGAGGAAGAGGACGGCGACGACGACGACGACGACGACAACGTCGCCGACGCCCCGCCGCCGAGCCGCGTGAAACCGAACGAGAACGACGCGGCCGCCGCGCTCGCGCGCCACGCGCGCCTGCGCGAGGTCGATCCCGTCTCCGCGGCGAAGCTGCACCCGAACAACGCGCGGAAGGTGCGTCGATACCTGGAGATTTACGACGCGTTCGGCGAGCCGGCTTCGGTCGTCTTCGCGCGCGGGAAAGCCGCCGCCGCCGCCGCCGACGACGACGACGACGACGAATCGCCGTCCGACACGTCAGCACGGTACCGATCGCTGTGCCTCGTCCTGCGCGCGGACGCGAGCGAGCTCGAGCCCGCGCTCGCGCGCCGCGTGGACGCGATGGTGGACGCGGGGCTCGTCGCCGAGCTCGAGGCCGCCGCGGCGGCGAACGTCGGCGGCGGCGTCGGCGTCTCGCAGTCGATCGGGTTTCACGAGTGGGTCGAGTACTTACGCGCGCGCGCGGCGACGCCCCAGCGCGACGTGGACGCCGCGATCGACACGATGAAAGCGGACGCGATCGAGGCGATGAAGGCGGACACGCGCCGGCTCGCGAGGGCGCAGTTGAGGCGGTGTAAGAGGCTCGAGAGAACGTTCGGGTGGCGACCGACGTATCTCGACGCGACGGCGACGCACGCGGGCGCGCGGGTCGGGGACGCCGCGCGCGCGGACGCGGCGTGGAGAGAAGACGTGTTCGAGCCCGCGCTCAGGGCGGCGCGGGCGTTCGTCGCCGGCGAGGACGACGGCGGCGGCGGCGGCGGCGGCGGCGTCGCGGAGGAGCCGGCGTGGGAGGAGCGTCGCTGCGACGCGTGCGAACGAACCTTGCGCGGGGACGCGGAGTGGCGCGCGCACGTCTCGGGAAGGCGTCATCGCAAGCGCGTGGCGTCGTTGCGGAAGAAACGCGAGGGGAAGCACGGAGTGCCACCGCGCGAGAAGGGTTGCTCCGACGCCGGGTAGCGCGAGCTCGGAGAGTTTTTCGGCGGTGGTTTAGTTCATAAAACTACCAGTCGTCGGTTTACACGCCGTTCTCGCGCGCGCGCACACGCCGCGATCGCTTCGTCTCGCGCGTCGGAGTTTATCTAATAGGTTCTAGGAGCGCGTGAGCGCGTAGCTTTACATCGAGCCGGAGTGGGGACCTTCTTTCCCGTCGCCGCCGGCGCGAATTTTCTCGACCGCCGCGGCGCTGTGGCTCAGGAAGAGAAATTCGTCGAGAGTCTCCGAGACTCCGACGGATCACCGCACGCTGAGCGACCCGTGCGCGTGGTGGGTCGCGTCGTCGGACCCCACGCCGCTGATGTCGTGCGCCGCCCCGAGACCACCCACGGCGCCGGCCGTCAAGACTCCGTTGGGATTCATCGGATCCACGCCCCCGGAGGCGATACTAGGGCTCACGGCGAGGCGCGCCGCATCCGCACTGGCTTCCGCGGCCAGCGGATCGTCCGGCTTGGGACCGGTCGCCGCGGGCTTCGCCTTGGCACCCCCGGCCTTCCCCTCGCCCTTAGCCTTCTCCGCGCGCCGCTGCGCCCGGATCTCACTCTGGCGCTTGAGCTGCTCCGGCGTCATCTTCTTCCTTCGGTTCTTGCTTCGCTGTCTTTCGGCCTCGCGCTGTGCCGCAGTCGCCTCGCGGCGCCGCCTCGCCGAACGCAGCCGCTCTCTCTCTCGCTTATCCGGGGTTTTCTCGGCCGCTACCCGCGGGGCCGGGGCCGGAGGCGGGGCCGGAGGCGGGCTGGTCATCGCGCGCTTAACTGAGTTGCGTGCGGCGCGGCAGGTCAAGTGGAGATCCGATTCCCCGTCCCCCGGCAGCTCTCGTTGGACGACGGCGATTCGTGACGAGTCTCACAGTGAGATTTTCGCTCGTGTCGTAATACAACGTAAGGGTGGTGCATGCGGTGAGGCGACGCGGCTAGCTCTCGCGACGTCGTCGGGGAGCGGCGGCGGCGGCGACGTTCGCCGCGGGTGTCTGCGTGTTCTCGTGCGTTTCTATCTGCGCGATGGCGCCTAAAGCGTACACGCGTCGTGCGTTGGTCCTGCGCGCGGGCGATGCGTCACCGCTCTCAGCGGCTCGACATGACATTCGGCGACTCGCGCGGCTGCAGCGCGACCGAGGCATTGCGCCTTATCCCCCCGCCCCCCGCGCTCTTCCCGGACTCGTGGACGTCGATGGACATTGTCTTCCTCCCCGCGTGCTCGTTCTCCCTGTCAGCGCTCGCGGGCGGCTTTTTCTGCGACCTCGTCGGCGTCTCCGGCTTCTCGGGAAATCTCCCGTTCTCCAGGTTCCACCGGTCGTCGCGTTCGTTCAGGTGCACGCGGATCGCCTCTCTCAGGGTGTTATCCACCTGGACGTCGTAGTACGACGTCAAGACGTTCGACGCTCTCTGGATCTCGTCCTTCCGCGTATCCTCGTCCATCCCCGCGGCGTTCAGCTCCGCTTCCCTGCCCGCGTCGTTGCACATGCGGTAGAAGTCGCCCGACGACAAATAGTACAGCATGGCTTGCACCGCGTCCGTCTCGACCCACTCTCGCGCGTTGTACGCGTTCGGCGCGCCCTCGAAGCCCGCGCCCTGCTCGCTCGCGGGGCACAACCACTGCGGTTTTTTCCCTCGCGTCCCGTCCCTGCGGAAGTAGTCACCGTACAGGCGCCAGCACGCGGTCGCGAAGAGCTCCGAGCGCTCCGCGACGCTCGCGTTTCGCGAGTAGTATCGGAGATCGCCCATGACGCCTCGCTCGTGCGCCTCGAACGGGTGGACGTACCACGGGCTCGGCATCGCGGGGCAGCTGCGTTTCCTCGGGTCGATCGGCATTTCGTCTCGCGCGGCGACAGGGAGGCGTCGTGCGTGCGCGCGGGAGGGGGACGGCGCGGCTCGGACTGTCAATGCCAAACTTCGTGCGCGTCGAGAAAACGCTTCTTCGACCCGTACTTACTGTACACACGTACGGAGCACAGCGCAAACAGTCAGAGCGTACGCGAACGAAAAAAAACTCGCGCTATGAGTAATTAGTGAGGGTGTACGTACGCGACGAGCGCTCGCACCCGCGAAAAGTTTCTCTCCTGGCTGAAGAAAAGCCGACGTCGCGCGTCGTCGACGCCCTCTTTCGCACGCACGAAACCGATAGCCGGCGAGCTAGCGGTTCACTCGTGCAACCATGAAGGTGAGCGTCGCGAATCCCACCTCGCGCGCGCCCTCCGAGGACGTCCCGCGCGTCGCGTCGCCGGTTTCCCGGCGTCGGATGCGCGAACGATCCTCCTAGGGTTTTTTCCCCGGTCTTCGCGGCGACCCGCGCGCGATGCGACCCGCACGCCCTTCGTCCGCGACGTGAGACCCTCGCGCTGACGCCTCCCATCTCACCCCCGCCCCCGTGTACGTCCGCAGCTCAACATCGCGAACCCGGCGACGGGATGGTGCGTTCGCTCTCCAGGGTTTTCGCGGCTTTGCTTTTCGCCGCGCAGCGATTTATTTTCCCGGTGTCGATGGCGGACGGCCGGCGGAGGACGTCACGCCGCGCGAGCGGGCGACGACGACGACGACGCATCCAGCGGCGGCGTGTTAGCACGCGTCCCGTGCGCCGCGACCCGTCGTCGTCATCGCGCGCGCGTGACGTCCCACGCCGGCCGGCCACCGGACATCATCTTTTCCCGCGACCGCGCGCGACTGCCGTCTCGAACGAACGAACGAAACGAATTCATCCAGGACCTCCCCCCGGACCTCGCTGACGCGCTCGCCCCCTCCTCCTCGCTTCGAATCAACAGCCAAAAGAAGATTGAAATCAACGATGACAGCAAGCTGCGCATCTTTTACGACAAGCGCATCGCCGCGGAGATCGACGGCGAGGGCCTCGGCGAGGAGTTCAAAGGGTACATCTTCAAGATCATGGGCGGCAACGACAAGCAAGGGTTCGGCATGAAGCAGGGTATCCTCACCGCGCAGCGCGTGTTCCTCCTCATGAAGCAGGGCACGTCCGGGTTCTTGGGTCACGGCCGCAGGAAGGGTGAGCGCAGGCGTAAGGCTGTCCGCGGCTGCATCGTGTCCCAGGACATCGCCGTGCTCAACCTCATGATCGTCAAGCAGGGCCCCGGCCCGCTTCCCGGTCTCACGGACGACGAAAAGCCGCGTCTTCGCGGGCCCAAGCGCGCGTCGAAGATTCGCAAGCTGTTCGCCCTCGATAAGAAGGACGACGTTCGCAAGTACGTCAACACGTACAGGCGCGAGTTTGAATCCGCGACCGGGAAGAAGAAGAGCAAAGCCCCGAAGATTCAGCGCCTCATCACCGCGCAGTCTCTCCAACGCAAGCGCAAGGAGCGCTCGATCAAGGCGGCGAAGATCGAGAAGTCCAAGTCCGAGGCGCAGGCGTACCACAAGGTGCTCGCGCTCAGGCTGAAGGAGGCGCGCGAGCGTCGCTCGGAGTCTCTCGCGAAGCGCAGGGCGTCTTCCGTCGCGTCCAAGGATAAGGCGTGAGGGAGCGGCGCGGATCGTCGATGGCGACAAAATTTTAAGGCGACTTTAGGGAGGGGCGCGGCGACGAATCGAATCGATCGATCGCGCCTCGTCTCGGAGACGCCCGGTCGCGCGGAGGTTTGGATAGACCGTCGCGCGGCCGTCAGTGGGGGTTGAATGCTTAGTCGCGCCGTCTCGTTGTAATCCAGAGCGTCGCGTCTTCACACGAAAGAACACGACGCCCGTCCTCTCGCGCTCGCCTCGTCCGTTCCATCATCGCGCCACTGCCAGAACGACCCGAAAATTTGAAGTGGACGACGAGTTTCGTCGCGCGCGCGCTACAGCGACAGCTCGCGGGGTCGTCATAGCTTAGCGCGCGCGCGATGGGCGAAGCGGCGGCGGCGGCGGCGGCGGCGGCGCCTCCCGCGCCCCCCCCGCGCGACGACGACGACGCGCGTCAGAAGCTCGTGCGACGATGGCCCGAGAGGAAGGGCGAGATCGTCCAGCTCCTCGGCCTCCTCGGCGCGCCGCACGACCACGCCGTGCCGATCTTCGTCCACGGCCCGCCCGTCACGGGGAAGAGCAGCATCGTGCGCGACGTCTTCACGACGACGAAGCGGCCGTTCGCGTACGTCTCGCTCGTGGACGCGCATAATCCGCGTCTGCTTCTGGACGCGATAGTGGAGGAGCTGGCGCCGTACCTCACCGGTCTCACGGAGAAGCAGACGCGCTGCGATCGCTTCGCGGATCTCATAAGCGTCCTCCACCGCGGGTTAGCCCCGGACGCGCCCGCGGTGTACTTGGTCATCGACGTCGCGACGCGGTTGCTGGACTGGAAGTCGAACGACCCGCTGCTGCCGGCGCTGATGAAGATATCCGAGCTCACGGGTGCGCGGTCTCCGAGCCCTCGAGCGCGGTCGACTCGACTCGACGCGCGCGATTCAAACGCGGCACCCTCCCACCGTTCCAGACCTCCCCGTCCCTCGTCGCCCCGTCCCTCCTCTCTCTCCTCGCGCGCCGCGCCGTCTCCGACGCTCGCGCTCACGGCGTCGCATCTCTCGCCTACGTACTCTACTCAACAGGACGCAACGTCGGCGCGATGCTCATCGCGACGCCCGGGTGGGACGCGTTCCGATCCGCCGCGATGGTTCGACCGCCCGTGCTTGTGTATTTCGACGCGTACACCAATCGGCAACTCCGGGACGTGCTCACGCGCGAGCGCCCGAAGGACGCGGACGCGACGTTGTACCGGGACTTCCTCGGCGCGGTGCTTCCGACGTTCTTCGCGACGTGCAAGTCGCTGCACGAGCTGCGGGCGCTGTTGGCGCCGCTGTGGAGGCGGTACGTGGCGCCGTGGGAAGAGGCGCGCGACGGAAGAGATCTCGCGGCGGCGCGGAGAGGTCTCTCCGCGGCCGCGGCGGGGGGATCCGGGTCCGGGTCCGGATCCGGCGGGGGTGCCGAGGGTGCCCAGGCCGACGACGACGTCGTCGTCCTTCCGGAGGCGAGGACGCTGTGGGCGAGGTTGGCGTCCGGGCGGACGGCGGAGAGCGTCGCGGCGGAGGCGGCGGCGAAGGCGGCGGCGGAGGCGCGCGGCGTCCCGCCGCCGCCTCGAAAAAAGACCGGCCCCGTCCTCCACGCCGGGCTCGCGGTCCCTCTATCGTCCGCGTCCCTCGCGCTGCAGCGCGGGGAGTGGCCCGTCCCCGAGGACGAGTCGGGCGCGGGCGCGCTCGATTTCGACATTCCGCGTCTCACGAAGTTCATGCTCGTCTCCGCGCACCTCGCGACGATGAACCGAGAAGCCGTGGACAAGCGTCTGTTCGGGCACATGATCGAGGGCGTCCGCGCCGGCACGGCCGCGGTCGCGCAGCGCTCGGGGAAGCGGAAGCGCGGCGCGCTGTCCGCGGACAAGCAGAGCGAAGCCGCGGCGACGGCGGCGCTCGACGGTCCGGGCACGTTCAGGTGCGTCCCTCGTTTTTCACCCATCCCTCGGTGTCAAGATTTGATCGCGTCCCCTTTCGACTGACCGGTGAAGATATCCCGACTGCCCCGTCGTCAGCCTCGAGCGGTTGCTCGCGTATTTTCGCGTCGTGACGAAGCAGGCGTACGACGAGGACGGCGCCGGCGACGGCGACCTCGCGCGCGAACTCCTCAGCGCGGACGTGTTCATGCAAATCAGCAGCATGGTCGCGCTGGGTTTGCTCACGCGCACGAGCGGCGGGGACGCGCTCGACGGGTGTCGGTACCGGTGCGACGTAGGGAACGACCTCGCGAGGAAGATCGCGGCGGACCCCGCGGTGCGGGTCAACCTGGACAACTACCTGTTCTACGTGTGAGCGCGCGACCGACGGAGAGCGCGGGGGGGGGGAGGGGGGGGGGCGCGCGTTCCCGCGCGATGGTCGACGCGACGGGTGCGACGGTGGATCCGGGACCGAACGCGAAAGTTAGTTACAGAAAATAATAAAACTACCAATAGATTCTTTTTGGCGTACACGTACACGTACTCTAACCAAAAACACATACAGATACTCCGGAAAGATCATTGGTTGTTGATTAGCCTCGGAAGTCGAACGGTACTGAGTCGAACGCGATGGGCGCTTCGATCGGCGCGTCTCCGGCACTTGGAGACGCGCGCCGCCGCCGCCGCGGCTCGTCGCCGACCCTCCACCGCGCGCGACCCTCGCTCGCGACCGAAGCGTAGACGACCCGCGGCGTCGCGTCGCGTCGCGCGATCCTCTCGACCGACGATCAGATGGCGTCCGTCCTCAACCGTCTTCAGACGATCGGACGGGGGTTCGGGGATAAAAAAACCATCAAGACGGACGACGTGCACGCCGCCGCGGAGGAGACGAAAGCCGCGGCGGGGAAGTCCAAGAACACGCTGTCGTCCGTAGGATGGGGCGACCGCCTGCGGTACGTCGTCGAGAACAAGACCGCGGAGGACGGCAACTACCCCTTCTACCTCCTCACCTACGTCACGACGCTGACCCTCCTCGCGTTCGGCCTCGTGTGGTGGTACGCCTCGAACCGATACGACGGCTACGTCTACGGTCAGGAGAACTACGCGGACGCCTTCTTCGCGGGGATGCAGCTCATCGTGTCGCAAGGGTACGTCGACGAGATCCCGGACAAGTACGGCCTTCGATGGTTCTACTGGCTCATGATATTTTTCGGCGTCGTGATCTTCGCGGTGCTCGTCGGTTTCATCACCGACGCCATCGCACAGAGCATGGACGCGATCAAGGAAGGGCACACTGCCGTCGCGGAGGCGGGGCACACGCTCATCTTGGGGTGGAATGAAGCCACGCTGCGGGCGGTCGTGCAGATCTCGTTCCTCAGGCGGCAGTACCAACAGCTGAACGAGAGGAAGTGCTTCGGACTCCTGTGGTACGCCAAATGGCTGACGCCGGCGTTCAGTATGCTCGGGCTCCTCGAGCGCCCGTCCACGTCGATCGCGGTGGCGAACATCGTCGTGATGACGGACACGCTCTCCAAGGACGAGATGCACCGTCGTCTGGAGCAAGTCCTGGCCGAGCGCGGGATCAACCCGCGGAGAACGAAGATCGGGCGAAACATCATCTGCCGCGTCGGCGATCCGACAAACGTGAACGACCTGATCCGCGTGGGCGCGCACAGAGCCGCGGCGATTCTCGTGATGATGACGGCGCAGGACCAGAAAGAGGAGGACGAGTCCGAGGGGAGCATCCAGAACGGCGCGACGTTGCGGGCGGTCCTCGCGCTGAGGCACGTGTTCTTCACGAACCCGTGGGATCGCACGCGGGAGGTGAACCCGGATTTGAGAGTCGTGCTACAGATGTCCAACAAGAGCGAATACGTCGACGCCGCGATGTTTCAGCACAACAACGGGAACCCGGTGATCATCCCGATGGACTTGACGCTGTTCATGAACTCGCTCATGTTCAAGTGCGCGGCGCAGCCCGGTCTGAGCAGCATCTTGCTGAACATCATCGACTTCGAGGGCACCGCGATTCGACGACGCAAGGCGAAAAACTTGCGCAGCGGACCGAACAACAAATACGGCGACTGCATCGGGAAAACGTTCGGAGAGATGCGCAAGCAGTTCACGCGCGCGGTGTTCATCGGAATCATCAAGCCCGGGATGCCCGTGGAAGAGATCGCGTCCTCCGGGTACGGCCTGTGCCCGGACCAGTCCACGGTGATCGATCCCGAGGACCTCCTGATTTTCATCGGACCGAGGTCGAACCCGATACACGACTACAAGATGACGGCCACGTTCGACGGGTACCTGAAAACCGCCAAGGCGCTCGCGGACGCGAACCCGTCGATCGAGTCGAACCGCAGGAAGCGTCAGATGGTCTCGAAAATGCTCTCTAACGTCCTCGTGTGCGGCTGGCGCCCGGATTGGCAAGACGACTACCGGCGCCTACACGACCGCATGATGGAAATCGTGCGGCAGCGACAGCCGGGTAGCACGATCACGTTCGTGAACGCCGTGGACGAGGACGAGTTCGCGGCGTTAGTCCTGAAGATGGGCCTGCGAAAAGCGCGCGATGACGGCGAAGTGCGGTGCTACGAGATGCACCACCCGTACCGAGGCATCTTCATTCGGCACGTGAGAGGGGACGCGGCGAAGCCGAACGTGATTGGCCCGATCATCGAGGGGTCCACGATTCACACCGCGATCATCTTGGGGACGCAGGCGAACATCCGCCTCGGCCATCGCCATCGCGACACGCGCGTGTTGAACATCGTGCTGCTGTTGCGGAAGCTGTGGAGCGTCAAAGCCGAGGGCGTCCCCATGCACATCGTCGGTGAAAACCAAGAAGACATGACATCTCGACTCGCGCTCGCGCCGAAGCGCGGTCCCGGCGCCGCCGGCGGCCACGAGCCAGACTTCGTGAACAGCCAAGCCGTCGCCGCGCGCGCGCTGGTGCAAACGCTGGCGTACCCGATCATCTCCCCCGCGGTGAAGGACCTCTTCAACGAAGCGGAGGACAGCGCGGACATCGTGACCACGTTCGCCAGCGAGTACGTCCCGTTAAACGTCGAGATGAAATTCGGCGTGGTGCGCGCGTCGGTGTTGCGAGCGCAAGGGGAACGAAGCATCTGCATCGGCATCCTGTGGAGCAACGGCGACCCGGCGCTTCTTCCGCCGCACGACAGCGACGTGAAGTTCTGCGACACGGATCGGTTGGTGGTGCTGAGGAGGTTGTTCGACGCCGCGAACCCGGAGCAGCCGCCGAAGCCGTCGGGGGATGAGCCGGGGTCGCCGCTGGGTCGGATGATGTCGATCGCGGGAGTGAGGGCGTGATCGCGATGGTGGGTGTGATTTCGTTAACGTATTAAACAACGTGTGCGTTGTTGCTGTCGTCACGAATTATTATTAAGATTCGGCGTTCTCGCGCGCTCGCGGACCCGCCGGCCGGGGGGGCGCCCGCCGAAAAAAACGACCAACTGATGCTGTCCTGTTTGCCTGTCCCGAAGTCCGCTCGGTTTTTCCGCGGGACGAGCCGAGATACTTTTCGCTGAGACGACGCGACGCGACGCGACGCCCCTCCCCCGCGCGCGCTCCCCGCACATATCGCGCGCGCGCTCCCCGCGACCCCGCGCGCGAGGCGTCGACCCTCCCGCGGACCCCGCGCGTCGTTCGACCCCGCGACTCGTTCCACCTCGGGACGACCTTCGCCCTCCCCCGGGGACGGGGACGGGAAGAAGGCTGGCTATTGGAGGGAGGGACTGACAGCGGTATGGACAACACGACGGGCTTCGAACACTTCCCCGCGTCCGCCGCGCGCGCGCCGCCGTTCCAGCCCTCGCGCGGGTACGCGTCGTTCGACAGCCCGCAGTTCAGCGCGCTGCGACGGCTGCAAGAGGAGCAGGCGAGGGCGCGGCAGATCGCGCTCGAGCGCCGCGTCGGGACGGGGACGGGGACGGGGACGGGGGCGCCGTCGTCGTCGTCCGCGCTCTCCGCGCTCTCCACGAGGTCGGCCTCGTTCTTCGGCGGGGGCGCCCCCGCGGACGCGCGGCCGCTCGAGGACGCGCCGCCGTTCGTCCCCGCGGCCCTGCGCGACGCGGATGAATCCGCGGAGGTGACGATGGCGCCGTTCTATGCGACGTCGTGGGGGGGAGGCGGCGGCAGCAAGTCCGCGCCGCCGTCGCCGTTCCAACCGCCCGCGGGGACGACGGCGACGACGACGACGACGACGCAGGCGTTCACCGCGACCGCGGGGGTGCTGCACCACGGTTCGCGAACCGACGATCGCGCGTCGACTCTGATCGCGCTGCGACAGCAGGCGTTCAGATCCGAGCACGCGATTGGTGGACACGATTGGGACGGTCGAGGCGGGTTTCACTCGCCGCGCCAAAATTTCGAGCAAACGTTCGAGCAAAATTTCGCCGCCGCGTGTCCTCCGCCTCCGTGGCTCGGCACCCCCGCGCCGACCGCGGGCTCGAACGTGGACCAACACGGGATGTCCACGATATCCATCGGCGGCGCCGGCGGGATCCAATCCCCGCCGTTCTCCCCGAGCCGCAGCGCGCACTCGCTGGTCGCGTCGCTGGTCGCGTCGCCGATGACGCCCCCGCGCGCGCGCGCGCGGCGGCGGCGGCGGCGGAAGCGCCGCCGGGTCTCCGCTGCAGATCTCCCCGCCCCCGGGGACGACGCTGCGATCGATGCACATCACGTCCCCGCTGAGCGATCACTCGCCGGGGATGCCCGGGGCGCAGAACTCGCTGTACAAGACGGAGCTGTGTAGGAGCTGGGAAGAGACGGGCGCGTGTCGGTACGGCGTGAAGTGCCAGTTCGCGCACGGGCGAGACGAGCTCCGCCCGGTGTTGAGGCACCCAAAGTACAAGACCGAGGTGTGCCGGACGTTCGCGCAGAACGGCACGTGCCCGTACGGGACGCGGTGTAGATTCATTCACTACCGAGTCCCGCAGAAGAGCATCTTGGGGACGCTCATCGCGGGCGCGCACTCGGTCATACCGGCGGACTGGAGCCCCGAGGGGAAGCCGTCCGATCGACCGACCCCGAGCGCCGGCGTCAACGGCGGATCCCCCGGTCAGGGCAAGCGGCGGCTGCCGATATTTCAGAGGATATCGGACGAGAACGCGAAGGAGGAGAAGGACGCCGCGGAGGCGGCGGGGGCGAAGCGTCACGGATGGGACGCGCTGCGCGAGGGATGCGACGACGACGACGACAACGTCGAGGTCGACGTCTTCCGTCGGTCTGTCGAGGACATGTACGACGCGCGCGCGCGCCGCGCGCCGATGCCGTTCGACATCAGCGGCAGCGCGCTCTTCGGGAACGTGCGCTGAGCTATGAGTGGCGACGGGGGGCGACAGGGAGGGGGAGACGAGGAGGGGAAGAGAGAAGACGAACGGACGACGACGACGTAAACGGGAACCCGCGTTCCCGAGAGGAAGAGTACGCGAAACGAAAGTGTTTCACGCGCCACGCGCGAAGAGTACGCGTAAGATTGTATTTGTTCTTTTTTTAACGACGAGTAAGTAATGGTAAGATAGACCATCGCGGCTACGTCCTTGTCCTCGTCGTCGCCGACGACGCTACCGCACCCCGAGCGGGTGCGTCTCGAGCTCGGATTCGTCCAGGAAGACGCCGTCGTCGCCGCGCCCGCCGCCCCGGAATAACAAGTTCCCGACCGCCCCTAATAATCCTCCCATCGCGTTCGCGTTCGCACCCCTCGAGTCCCCCTCCTCTCGGGTCCCCCTCTCTCGCGACGACGACGACGACGACGCGCCGACCGCGCCGACCGGTCGGTCGGCGAGGCCATCCTCTCGCAGCGCGAGGAGAATCGTCCGACGCAGCGCCGCCGCGCGTTCGACGTTGAGCCCCTCCGGCGCGCGCGACGCCGCCTTCTCCAACGCGCTCAGCTCGCGCAACGCCCACTCGATCCTCTCTCTTTGGCCGCGGAGCGTGAAGCGCGACGCCGCGACGCGCGCGTGCTGCAGCGACAGCTCCATCACGCTCGGGCTTCTCAGCCCGCCGCCGCCGCGCGGCGCCGGCGCCTTCGCCTTCGCCTTCGCCTTCGCGTCGCGCGTCTCGTCGTCTTCGTCGGCGTCCGAACTCTCCGAACTCTCCGCGCGCCGCTCCTCCTCCGCGGCCTCTTCCATCGCCGCGTCGATCGCGGCCGCCCTGGAGTCGCACTCGGTCTCCTCGTCGCTCACCGCCTCGAGTGCGTCTTGAAGGTCCCAGCGGAGGTGCGTCATCGCGTACCGCTCCTTCGCGGCGGCGGTGGAAGATGGAACGTCAACCGTCGCCGTCGCCGCCGCGAACGGGGACGGGGACGGGGACGGGGACAGCGGGGACGGGGACGGGGACGGGGACGGGGACGGGGACGGGTCGACGACGCCGCTCGCGCGCCTACGCTCCTCCTCCTCCCGCCTCGACCGCTCCAACGTCTCGCGGAGCACTCTCGCCTCGCCGGGGGGCACGCTCTCGAGGTCGACGCCGACGTCCCCGCGCGGGGTCTCGGACGCCGCGAGCGCGCGCGCGAGGTCGGCTTCGTAATCGCCGGAGGAGAGCCGCTCGAGCTCGAACGGCGGCGGCGGCGGCGGCGGCGGCGGCGACGACGACGACGACGGTTGACGTTCCGTCTTCCACTCGGTCGCGCGCCCCGACGCCGACCGCGCCGACATCGCGCGTCGGCACGCCTCGGACACCTCCGCGAAGGCGTCCGCTGAATTCGCGCGCGTCGCCGTCGCCGTCGCGCTCGCCGTCGCGAGCTCGCGCCACTCGTCCGCGCAGTCGCGAAGGACGCTCAGGACGCCGTCGTGTCTCGAGTGCGTCTCCACGACGCCCAGGAACCGCGCGATCCACGCGTCCGAGGACAGCGCGTCGAGCAGAGACGCGCCGACGCCTCGCGCGTCCAGGAAGTTCGCGATCGACTCGCGGAGCACCGTCAGCGCGGTCGACGCCTCGGTTTCGCCGCGGCCGGAGGCGAGCGCGGTCGCGACGGCCTCGAGCGCGGGCTCGGTCGCGCTGAGGGGACGGAGCGCGGGGGACGACGCGGGATGGATGGGGGATAGGGGGCGGGTGATGAGGAAGGGATCACGGGGGAGATGTTGACAACTGACGTTCGCGTTCTCGAGGGACTTCCCAGGCGCGACGCGCGCCGCGCGCGCGCGGGGGGAGGACGCACCACGCGCCGCCGTCCGCGAGCGCGTCCGCGAACGCGATGACCGCCTCCACGGTGTCGCTTCGTCGCAGCGCGGACGCGAACGCGTCCGCGGCGGGACGCGCCATCCCGCCCCGCGGGCGCGGCGCGGCCGTGCTCTGCCGCGACGGCGACAGGTGGACGCCGAGCGTCCGCCGACGCGCGCGCGAAGCGACGCGGCTGCCGCGTCAGCTCTCGATCAGCGGAGATTCGCGTCGGTCAGCTGGGAGAAGTGCCGGTCAGTTTGACCGGCTGGCTCGATCGTGGAGTGCGATGAAACTCATACTCCAGGCTCAACGTTACTCGTTTTTAATTAACCGGGATAAGCTGGCCGTTGGGAAAACGACCCGACGGACGCTCCGCGCGATCGAGCCGCGCACACGGCGCACGGCGCCGCACGCACACCGCCCGATCCGCGCGAAGACGCTCGACAGCTTTATCGTCGAGTTTCGAATCGCGCGAGACGCACGGGACGCCGTCCGCGCGCGGTCGATCGACGCGCGGAAAGGAATAAATTCTCATCGATCCGCGCGCCTTTTTGCGCGATCGATCAAATCAATAGGGTAACCCCAGCCGACACCGACCATGGGGGGCTTCGTCGAGAGAACCGCGAAGGAGAAGGAGTACGTCCCCGCTGCCGCGGACGCGCTCGTCGCGATGGTCTCCGGCTGCGCCGCCGCGGTCGCGGTGGCGCCGTTCCTGATGTGCGTCGACCGAGGCGTCGTCGCCGCGGCCGCGGGGACCGCCCCCGGGGGCTCGCTCTTCCGCGCCATCGCGTCCGTCGCCGGGGAGTTCGTCACGAAGCCGAAGATCGCGTTCACGTCCCCGGCGCTGTGGATGGTCGCCGGCGTGTACGGCGGGACGTACTTCGCGAAGAACGTCAGCGACGTCGTCATCGAGCGCACCGGCGTCGGCGGCTCCCCGATCGCGCAGGCTGGCAAATTCGCGGTCGTCACGTCCACGAACATGGGCGGGTCCATCCTCAAGGACGCCGCGTTCGCGAAGCTCTTCGGCGCGGGCGCCGCCGCGACCGGCGCGCCGCCCGTCGTCCCCCTCGCGTCCTACGCGCTCTTCGCTCTCAGAGATTGCCTCACCATCGGCGGCGCGTTCTTCGTTCCGGACGTCATGCGCGACGCGCTCGTCGCGAGCGGGAACGTGCGCGACGCCGCCGCCGGCGCCGCCGCGCAGCTCGCGTCCCCGCCGCTGATGCAGGTGGTCTGCACGCCGATGCATCTGCTCGCGCTGAACTTCGTGAACGCGCCGGGGGCGACCGCGGCGGCGAGGATGGCGGTGATGAAGAAGTCCACGCCCGCGGCGTTGCTCGCGCGGTCGCTGCGGATGCTACCCGCGTACGGCGTCGGCGGCATCTTGAACACGTCGTTGACGTTACAGGGGAGGAGGGCGGTCGCGGAGCACTTTCTGAAGAGACGGGACGGGTGGGCGAGCGAGAAGGTGAAGCGCGCGTGGGGCGCGCGATTGGGCGCGTCCGTATTGGGCGCGAAGGGGACGAAGGGGAGCGGCGGCGGCGACGACGCGAAGGCGAAGCGGCGGGGCGCTCGATTCGCGTTGTTGTCGCGCGCGCACGTCGAGGCGCGGACGCGAAGCGCGCCGCCGCCGGCTGAGGCTGCCGCGACGACGACGACGACGACGCTGGGACGGTTCCGCAAGGTGACCGGCGGCGGCGCGAAGGTTAAGGGAGGGGACGGGCGGGCGCGGCGGCGATTCGCGATCGGCAGGTTCGGGACGGCGCGCGGCGGCGACAAAGCGGCGACGGCGGCGGCGGCGTGACGGCGGCCCCGCCGCGCGCGTCGCAGCGCGCGCGCCACCGTGTTATAGAGCAGCGCGATCTTCAACTTGCGAGTTGAAGACGATTAGAGAGAGAGAGAGAGAGAGAGAGAGAGAGAGAGAGAGAGGCTTTGTGGTAAAGACCGAGCCGTCCTCTCCTGTCCGCGCCCGCTCGCAGCCTTTCCAATCTGTTTTGTCCAGAGGCGCGGGCGACGACGCTGATCTCGGTTCGGAAAAGTGACGCGTCAGCGCAGCGTCCGCCCGGCGGACAACTGTCAGCGCGTGACGAAGGGTCGAAGCAGTAACGCCGCCCCCCTCCCCTCCCCGGCCAATTGCGAGCGCGTCATGGGCGGCGGCGGACCCGCGTCGTTCACGCCGAGGACTCCGGAGCAGCGCGCGCGCGTCAGCGGAATCGTCGACGGCGCCGTCGCGGTGGTGAGCGGGATCGGCGCCGCGGCCGCGGTGTCGCCGTTTCTCGCGACCGTCGATCGCGCGGTCGTCGCGGCGGCCGCCGGGAACGGCGGCGTGTTCCGCCACATCGCGCGCGGCTTCGCGGAGTTCGTCACCAAGCCGAGAGCCGCGTTCACGTCCCCCGCGCTCGGGATGGTCGTCGGCGTGTACGGCCTCACCTACGCGGCCGCGAACGTCAGCGACGTCGTCGGCGAGCGACGCGCGAACGCGTCGGACGCGTCCAAAGCCGCGGGCAAGTTCGCCGCGACGACGGGCGCGAACATGGGCGCGGGCGTGATGAAGGACGCCGCGTTCGCGCGCATGTTCGGCGCCGCCGCGGGCGCCGCCGCGGGCGCCGCCGCGACCGGCGCGCCGCTGACGGTCCCGGCCGCGTCCTACGCGCTCTTCGCCGTCCGAGATTCGCTCACCATCGGAGGCGCCTTCTTCGTCCCCGCCGCGTTGTCCGCGGCGCTCTCCGCGTCGGGGACGATCGAGAACCCCGCGAGCGCGAGCGCGCTCGCGCAGCTCGCGTCCCCGCCGCTGATGCAGGTGGTCTGCACGCCCCTGCATCTGCTCGCGCTGAACCTCGTGAACGCGCCGGGACCGAAGATCCCGTGGACGAAACGCGCCGCGTGGACGGCGACGGCGGCGCCCGCGGCGTTCGCCGCGCGGTCGCTGCGGATGCTCCCGGCGTACGGCGTCGGCGGCATCTTGAACGGGTACTTCGTCCGCAGAGGCCGCGAGCTCGCGCTCGCGGACGCGATGCGCGAGATCGAGGCCTCCGAGAGCGAGAGCGAGACCGGCGCCGGGTCGGAGGAAGCGCGGCAAAGGGGGCGGTGGGAGAGCGCGATCGAGGCGTTCGGCAGCGGCGAACGCTTGGACTCCTGGACGGGCGGCGAGGAGGGCGAGGCTGTCCTGCACACGCTCGCGCGGTACCTGTACGGCGACAACTCCGTGCATCCGATCGCGATGGCGAAGGAGACGTCGCTGCCGGAGATGACGTTCAGGTGGGAGCGGATGATACAGAACACGGTGCAGGCGCAGCTGGCGGACGCCGGCGGCGGGGACACGATCGGCGGGTGCATCGTCGCCGGCGGCGACGCCGAGGTTTCCGCGGCGCTGGACGCGCTCATCTCGCGCGCGAAGGTGGACGCGCGCGATGGTACGGTGAGCGTGCGCGAGATCGAGGGGTTGCTGACGCGGGAGAGGGACGAGAGCGGCGAGGGGTGGGCCGCGCGGGCGCTGAAAGGGGACGAGCGCGGCGCGGCGCGGTCGTCGCGCCGCGAATCGATTCGCGCGGCGGCGGCGGCGCGGGGGGTGGTGACGCGGACGACGGGCGCGGAGAACGGCGACGAGGACGCGCGCGTGGGGAGGGACGACATGCGGGCGCTGTTGCGGAAGCGCGTGGGGATCAAGAGCGCGCGAGACGACGACTGACGGGCGACGCTCGCTCGAGTCGGAAGAGGGCTCATCTGAGGGCTAAAAGTTTTCAACGCGCTCGCTTCATTACGAACACGCAGTCGTCCTCGTCGCCCGCGACCGCTTTCCTCCCCCGCGCCCCCTCCCGCGTCAGCGCCTCCATCGTCCGCGCGGCTCGCACGACGCGCGTCTCGGCGTCTATGAACGTCGTCCTCCACACCCGCGTCGTGTCCTTAAACGTCTTCGCGAACGGCGAAAACGCGCCGTCGAAGAGCGTCACCGCGACGGCGTCGAACGTCACCGTCCACAGCTCGCCGCGGCTGTCGTTCATCACTGGCGCGAACGTCGCGACGAGGCGCGCGCCGAGCCAGTCGTTCGGTGGTATGGATAAAACGTTCACGTACGAGCCGTTTTCGAGGCTGATCTCCTGAAACGCCGTGCCTTTGAACGGCCCGAGCGATCCGTTGGACGGCGGTGGCGCGGTGGAGAAGACAACCTCCCAGCGTCCGTCGACGAGCGCCGAGTTGGCGGGATTCGACGTCGGGTTCAGCGCTTCCAGGGCGCGTATCTTCGCTTCGATCGCCGCGAGAGCGTCGTCGCTCGCGTCCAACCCTCTGTTCGCGTCGCGCATCGACTCGAACAGCTCTTCCTTCGCGGTGGATATCGAGCGCGCGTCCGCGGCGTCGACCGCCCATCTCGTCGAGGAGGCTGCGATCTGCTGGTGCCGTCCGCGCGCGTCTCCGTCTCCGTCTCCGTCTCCCCACCGCGCCGTCAGCCTCCGCGCGACGCGCGACGTCGCGGACGTCGACGCGGACGCGGACGCGGACGATCGCGAGCGCGCGAGCGACGCCGCGCGCGGCGTCGCGAGCGCGATGGACGTGGACGCCATGCCGACGTGAGGGACGCGCGGACGGGGATGACGGGGCGGGCGAAGTTTTCGCAGCAGCGTTGCTGTTCGCTCAAGGCCGTTGCGACGTCCGAGGGAATCAAATCCGGGGCGACAGCTCCGACGGGGGACGCACTCCCACGCGCGCGCATAGACGCCGCACGCGCGCGCGCGCGCAGGCATCGCGCGCGCCTAGACACGCGCGGTAGCCGGGCGCTCGACCGCGCGGGCGACGACGCCGGCGGCGTCGCGGGGGTCGATCGAGACGGCGGGGGAACGCGCGAAGACGAGGAAAAAGTCGTTCGCGAGGACGGACGACGCGCCGAGGACGCGATGCCGCTATCGAGCGGCCCCGCGTTCTCCGCGCTGAAGAAGACGCCGCCGAAGTCGACCGCGTACGGATCGCGACGCTCCGCGACGGTGCGATGGACGACGTCGCCGCTGCCGCCGCGAATGCGCGACGCGCCGTCGAACGAGAAGGTCACGTCGCGCGTCCCGTCGGACGCCGCGAGAGCCGCGGTCGCCGCGGCGCCCGCGGCGGGGAAGCCGTCCGGCGCGAGCGCCGCGGGCGCGGGCGCGGGCGCCGCGAGCAGAGGCGTGTCGTGGGCGCGGTTCGAGTCCATCCCGGGCGACGGCGACCGCGCCGCCGCGGGGGCGGCGTCGTCGTCCGCGAGATCGTCGACGCCGACGCCGACGCCGGCGCCGTCGAGAACGGCGACGGCGACGGGCGCGGGCGCTCCGGCGAAGAAGACGGCCACGCCCACGACGAAGAATAAAAATAAAACGCCCACGAAGCCGTCGTTAGCCGCCGCGGCGCCGTCGTTGACGACCCGGGGGAGGTCGGCCGCGATGGACGCGAAGACGACCCGGGCGAGACTGTCGACGGCGAAACCGTCGAAGTCGCCGACGCGAAAGCGAAGCACGTCGCCGTCGCCGCTCCCCCGCGTCGCGACGCTCGCGTCCGGAACCGGAACCTCCGCCGCGGTGAAACGCGCGAAATCGCCGGTGAAAGCGACGGCGGGCTCGACGGCGTTCGGCGGGTTCCGACCCGTCGACGCGAACGCGAACGCGACCGCGACGGCGTCGCCGCCGCGGTCGCCGAGGAAACGACCGACCGCGTCGCCCGAGTCGCCGACGCCGGGGACGCGCGTGCACGAAAACCACGTCCTTCGCGAGAAGCTGCTCATCGCGCAGGACGGGAGACGAAAGGCAGAGTTGAAAGCGGACCGCGCGGCGGAGAGGGTGAAGGTGATGCGCGCGATCCTGGACGAGCAAAACGCGCTGCTGTCGAGCGCGCCGGAGGTGATCGCGCGAGGCGGGCTCGACGCGTGGCGAAAGAGCGCGTCCGTCGCCGCTGCGAGTCGTTCTCCTCGCGCCGAACCGCAACCGCGCGCGACCGCCGACGACGCCGCCGCGGACGCCGCCTCCGCCTCCGATCCCGCCGTCGCCGCCGCGCACGCGGAGGCTATGGACGCGCTCGCGCGACGCATCGCCGAGCTCGAATGTGAACGCGACGACGCGTCGCGTCGAGCCGCCGACGCCGAGGAAGAGACGCGGACGCGCGACGACCACGCGCGCGCGCTCGACGTCGACATCGCCGCGCTGCGCGCGGACTGCGAGGCGGCGCGCGTCGCGGCGCGCGACGCGAGCGAGATGGCGAGGGTGGCGTCTGCGCGCGAGCGAGAGGCGCTCGACGCGGTCGCCGCGGAGACGGAACGCGCCGACGACGCGACGCGAGACATGGCGGCGTTGACGGAGCGCGCGGATCAACTCGCCGCGCAGCTCGAGGTGGCGTCGCTGCGCCTGGACACGCTCATCGCGGATAATAACAACGACGCGCACAGGCACGACGCGATCGACGCGAACGGATCGACGA